TATATATATATATGTGTATATATATATATATATATATATATATATGGTGGTGAGAGAAGCAAGTTTATAATGGTGAGAGAAGCAAGTTCAGTTTTTTTCAGCCAGGGATGAGAATAAGTTGCACCATCGTTGTACAACCATTTGGAAATATACCCAAAACTTGAAAATGCACATATGCTTGGTGTAGTAATTACAATTGTGTGATTTATCCACATTGCCATTACAAATGTGAAAAAATATATATAATTAAATGAAAAGGCTAGTAGAATGGTATCCTCTTAGTTTTCTCTTCATCCAGAGATTTCTATCCTAAACACAAAAATGAGGACAAGCGTTGGTGTTTGATCAGTTAGGATGCAATATGCAAATGCTCAGGGGGTCTATGTCTTATTTCCCTTTTTCTCAGCTCTTCCTAGGACCCTAGGCTCCTGCTTTACACCTAAACCAAACCAGGCATATCGCAAATGCTTATCCGTGGTCCTTGTGGAAGCATCAGTCCTTTCACTTGGAGATAGTTAAAGCGTAAGTCCCACTTTCCTAAGAGTGGACAGTGGAATTACCTCTAAAAACAATGGTGTGCGATTCTCTGTGTTCTAATCTGGAATCACCTAGTCCACAAATTTGCAAACAGTAATCCTACAGTTGCACAAATTTACTGAGATGAGAGACAGGACAATGAAAAGTGTTGGTTGTAGAATGCTGTAACATACATAAAATATCTTATTTTTTAAAAGGACAATTAGTCTGTTAATTTTTTTCTTTAATCCAGAATTGATGCTCTGGGTAATGATGATTTCCTAGGGCATGGGATGGATGGGGCCTTTACATTTTTTCTCATGCATACCTTTACCTGGATTGCTCTCTGCTCATCCTTTTCTGAGGGCAGTGCCTAAAACGTCCTTGAAGTCTCTCTTTTCCATTGTCTCAGAGGTCCTAGCAGGAACCAAGGACATGACCATCTGAGCATCATTCATAAAGGGACGGTTGTCGGAGGGAGCTCAGTCGGTCATTACATCAAACAGTGAGGATTGTGGGTGTGAGCCTCCAGATGAGCTTCATTCTGTTCACAGACAACGACTTTGTCTCAAATTTATGACTACAAATGACCTTGCCAGGGTGTGGAGAACTCAGGGTTAACTTACACCTCTCCTGGGGAACCAACAGCTCCTCCAAACCATGTGCTATGTTCCTCCTCTTGTGTTTAATGTGAGTAGATTACAAAAGGGAGGATTATCCAGAGAAAAAAGCCCACAAGCCCTGCAGCAGACAACCTGAAATGGAGGTATCCCCGCTGCCTGCCTTGTTCTCCGGACTGACAAACTACAAAGAGTATACTTTCTGCTTTGAAATTCCCCAGACCTTTAGGAAATTCAGCCAACTATTTAACTACCCTGTTGTAAAATCTGATGTTAAACCACCAGCAAAAAGTTTGAATTACACAAGTTTCCATAAAAGCATTTTTCTCACCAAACATTCATTTTATTATCCTTTTTTTATGGGGGAACTGAAATAGCCAGATCTCAGGTCCTGCCTGCCATTTGGCCAGAACAGCTCGAGACCCAGGTCAAGGTTGATGCTGACGACTCAGCAGACACATCTCTTAAAAAGCCCTTCTCTCAGAGTTTATCTTAGGACAGTGTGCCTCTTGAAGACTAAAGGCTAATATTTGATTTAGGGATGATTGATGGGAGGATATTGTTGTATCCAAAGTGTATCCAATGGGCATGAGGAGAAAGCAAAGCATGTCATGATGTGAATGCAGACATGGGTCAGAACACGGGGGAGGTGAGGATGCACAGATGTAACTCCTGGGAAAGAATCCAGCTGTGGCTCTATGTAAGGAGGTAAATTGGCTTCAACTCCCACCCCCCAGAGTTGAAGAGGTGAACAAGTAAACCCAGAGAGCCAACTCTGGGCCAGCACCAGGCACTTGCTGTCACATGTATTTTCTCATTTATGGTAGATGAGCCTGGAGTGATGGGGTGGGGTTTTCTCCTGTCTGGTGGCTTTGGCTGGCATATTATTACTTACTGTAGAGCTGGCAAAGAGGAACAGACCTTCTTTATCTATCTTTTCATAGAATCTTGTGACAACTCCCTACTGTAAGTGTCCACAGAGTGCCAAACGAAAATAAATGCTACATGTAGTCATTTTAAGTGGGGTTTAAATGTTACACTGGAGTTTCCAAGAATCAACTGTAAGATTCTGACTTTTGGCTTATAGATATTGCAGCTGCATCTGAACTTTCCTCTGAGTAACTCCATGTCCCTTCCCTTTTATTTTGGGTTCTACCAGTAGGTAGTTTTGTCTCTGAGATGAAAGACATGTGTATCTTTTTTGATGGATAAATAGGCACTTGTAAAGATGCAAAATCAAGAGGACTAAAAATTTCTGAGACTCCAAGGGTCAAAAGAAAACTGGGAAGCTTTTATTACCTTCTGGAACTCAAATGAAGATTTGAAAAATAATAATTGAGGGCAGTAAGACATCACAATATCTGGTCAATGAGTAAAAGATTCATGGGCAAAATATTCATGAAGGTATCTGTAAATGTAAGGAAATATTGCTCATGACAGATATTTATCTTTATATAGGTAAAAGCAATAAGAACAAAATAAAACCATGAACAGCAGAATTATTTGAAAATAGTCAAATGTGTTTTATCTCCACAGTTCCAGACACCACAAATTTTAAAATGCAAAGGATCGAGTCTGTTTCTTATGTTGTAAAATGATCTGGTTTTTTTCTTTCTTTCAACAAATACTTGAGTACCACGTGACCTAGGAATTTTCTAAGTATTGGGGATACAGAATCAGATACGATCTTGATACTAAACAGCAATCACATGAATAAATTACAGCAGGATGAGCTCCCTGCACGAGCAGTGCAATGTTGTGAGGATACAAAGGATGGAGAGTGGGCAATATCAGGCGCATTGGAGAAGACCAGCGTGCAAATGCATGTCTTAGTCCGTTCAGGCTGCTGTAACAGAATCCCATGGACTGGATGCTTTATAAACAACAGAACTTTGCTTCTCACAGTGCTGGAGGCTGGGAACCCTCTGATCAAGGCGCCGAAGATTTGGTGTCTGGGGAGGACCTGCTTTCTGATTCACAGATGACTGTCTTCTCACTGTGTCCTCACATGATGAAAGGGGTGAGGGAGGTCCCTGGGGTCTACTTATAAGGGCACTAATCCCATTCACAAGGGCTCAACCCTCATGACCTCATCACCTTCCAAAGGCCCCACCTCCTAACATCCCATTGGGGGTTAGGATTTAACGTATGAATTTTTATGGGGACACAAACATTTGGTCTAAAGCAAAGTGCTGCTTCAACAGACCTCAAGGAAGAGGAGTTACCAGAGAAAGGGTTTGGGGAGGAGGACGGGGAGGTCCAGGCAGAGGGACTGGCATGTACACATCCCACGTTTAGAAGAAACGTGTCGTGTTTTTGCAAGTAAAAGAATCCACTGGGCTGGGTTGCAGCGATAGAGTGGATAAAAGCATGGATCAAGACAAGGCAAGAAAGGCAAGTTCAGTCGGGTAAGGTTTTGTCGATTGCATTAATATTTTTTGCCTCGTCTAAAGCCTAGGAGACATTTAAATATGTTTAGAGAGGTTGAGTGGGCAAATATTTCCAGTTATAAAGTTAATTTTAAACTTCCCCCAATTCAAAGCAGCATAGGACGTAACTTGAAGCTATTTATTCCTTCTCCTCTAAGTTTTATGGATCCAGTTGGTAGGACAGAGAAGAAGAAATTATTTAAAAGTGCATTGCGTAAGCTATGAGTCATTCTTCCTCAAATGGACAAATCATTACAGCTTCTATTTCATAGATTTCTTACTTTGGAATGATCCCAATCCTTTTTAGTATATTCAGCCCTGGATTTCAGTAACAGTTGTCAAACCTGCACAGAATTTTGTAAGTTTAGAGGAGTTGTCAAGAGCCTGGACCAAAATCTATATAAATTCAGTACAGTTAATTCCAAAGAAAGTGAGAGAGAGAGAGAGAGAGAGAACAATGTTTCCTGTGTATGTTGGCTATTTGTATATTTTTTTGGAGAAATGTCTATTCAGATCCTTTCGTATTTTTAAATTGGACTGTCTTTTTTTTAAAACAATTTTTTTTGATGTGGACCATTTTTTTAAAGTCTTTATTGAATTTGTTACAATATTGCTTCTGGTTTATGTTTTGGTTTTTTGGCCGCAAGGCATGTGGGATCTTAGCTCCCTGACCAGGGATCGAGCCCGCACCCCCTGCATTGGAAGACGAAGTCTTAACCACTGGACCACCAGAGAAGTCCCTGGGTTGTCTTTTTACCATTGAGTCATAGGAGTTCTTTATATATTCTAGATACAAGCTCTTTATCACATATATGATTTGAAAATATTTTCTCCCATTCAGAGGGTTGGCTCTTTTACTTTCTTGATGATGTCCTTTGAAGCACAGAAGTGTTCAATTTTGATCTCCAATTTACTTTTCTTCTGTTGCTTTTGCTTATAGTTTCTTATCTAATGCCGAATTCAAGGTCACACAGATATGCATGTTTCTTTTAAGAGTTTTATAGCCTTAGCTCTTACATATAGGTCTTTAATCCATTTTGAGTTAATTTTTGTATATGGTATAAGGTTAGGGACCAACTTCATACTTTTTTT